ACCATTGCAATTTGGCCTGTTTTCTTTGACCTAATAATTTTGAGCATTCTTCAACGAACCATGGCTTATGCTTCTTCGGTTCATAATAACCTAGACTCTCTTTGGCAGACATTTTTATGTTCTCTCTAATAGTTTCCAAAGCTTTATTAACATCCACCTCAGTTTCGAAGTTTTTCAAGGCCGCAAACCCATTTGTGATTTCAATACGATACTGCTCTTTACCCTCTATCTCATCTAATTTCTTGAGCTTGAACCTCTCCATATGAACTCTGTGTGTTGTTTGTTTGCTCACTGCCAGTCTTTCCCTAACCTTTGCCACCACCAGGTTGTGGTCAGTATCACAATCTGCTGCCCTGAACGATCGGACATTAAGTATACTTGAGTGCTGTCTCCTATCTATCAAAATATGGTCTATTTCACTGTGTATCTTCCCATCAGGGGATGTCCAAGTAAATTTATGGACGTTACGATGTGGAAACATTGTACTTAATATAGTAAGATTTTTTGATGTGGCAAAGTTTACAACTCTAACCCCATTATCATTATCGTTACTAATTTCATGCAAACTCTCATTCCCAATTGCTGGTTTGAAAATGTCTTCCCTCCCTACTTTGGAATTGAAATCTCCTAACAAAATTTTCATAGAGTACTTCGGGAATTTATCAAATACATGTTCTAGTTCTTCATAGAATATATCCTTTATGTCATCAGTCTTATCTTCTCTTGGGGTGTGAACATTCATAACAATGATATCACACCAGCGACCTTTTAGTATTATATATGATATCCTATCACTAACGAACTCTACCCTCTTAACTGCTGATACGATTCTCTTATGTACGAAAAAACCTATACCTAATTCATGATTTTCATTCCCCTTTCCATAGAAAAATGTATAGTCTCCTGCTGGTGCGATGACATTTCCATCCCATCTGACCTCCTGTACTCCCGCTAAATCTTAATTTATATTTTAAGATTTCTCCTGTCACTGCCCTGAGCGAACCTGCCCTATACAAACTTCGTACATTCCAAGTGCCAAATCAGGGAACAAGTCCTCCGGGAGGGACTTTAAGCCGTGGGTCCCGTGTCGTAGATTTACGGCACGTGAAAGATCCCTATGTCTCTAGAAGACTTCTGAGCAAAATTAGGCAAAGTTTCCCGCCCAAGTACTTTCCAATGCCTCCGGTAGATGGGGAAGTATCGGTTACCAGTGCCAGTCTCGCTGGCTGAACGGGGCTGATAGCGAGCACCAGTACCGGCAGGGTATGGCGATTGGTAGAATATCAAAGGGGGACGTACAATACAAGACTATTAGTCTATTAGACTATTAGACTATTAGTTACGGTGCATTGGGAAACCCACCCCTTCCAACAATAATAATAATAATAATAATAGTTAGTTAGGTTAGTTAGCTGTAACTTTTACTCCTAAAAAACTCTTAGTGATCATAACACGAAGATAACGGTAGAGATAGATATTTGAACGTTACTTTATTTGACCCTGGAGATGTAGGCTGTATTCAGTCGGTTTATGCCATGCGCAACGGCGTTACATGCAAGAAGAACGTAATATTCATGTGAATGTTTCTTGTTCTGTTCATAATGTTTCATGACGTACAACCTTGACAAAGTTGTATTATTGTGATCAATTGAAGGATGGTGGGATAGGCAGGGTATGTAGCATAAATAATATGTACAAAAATACATTCGGAAGCCTGAATTAGAGAGATCACGAGAGATTTCGGTGCAGATATCAGGATAACATTAAAATTGATCTTGTAGGAAGATGGCGAGAGAATCATATAGTTCAGAGCACCTTCCAGTGGTGCGCTGTTGATGGATATGGGAACAAACAGCCTGATACCTTAAAAATATGGAAAGTTTCTTTATCACGAAAGGGACTGCTGCATTTCAAGACAAGCCAACAAGCCTGAGATCAGGTGATATATGTATAAGGGGCAGTCAAATGAAAACCTGTCACCACGCATAACTCACACGGCGCGCAAGTTGGTAACACTGGAATTTGCTTACGGAACGAACATCTGGTGGGGACTCGGGAAAGCACAGTGAAAACGTGCCCTTGCACACTAGTTGTTTGTTTATTGTGCTGCAAGTAAGGTTAGCACTATGTGTTGTCGTCCAACAGCAGTAATGGAGGCGGGTAAAGAAGAACAGCGAAGTGTAGTGCGCTTTTTGGCTGCTGAAGGAGTGGGAGGACGAGAAATTCATCTTCACATGTCTGTTGTTTAGAGGGACGTGTGTCACTGCAAGATGATGCTCGCCCAAGAGGGGCTTATCGTGTCATCACTCTTGATGTTATTGCTGCGTTGGATGTTCATACCCGGGCAAACCGACGGATCGCTGTGGGAAAAAGTAGTCCCTTGATGGGAATAAGTCACGGTTCCGTACACGCCATTGTGACAAAACACCTGCTGTACCGCAAAATATGCGCGCAGTGGGTTCCACATCAACTTACGGAGGAACAGAAGACTCAGAGAATGGCTGCATCACTAGGTCACTTGCAACGATACCATGAGGAAGAGTATGCTGTTCTGTCCCGTATAGCCACTGGGGACGAAACTCGGTGCCATCATTTTGAACCCGAGAGCAAACGGCAGAGCCAGCAGTGGAAACACGTGAATTCTCCCCCATCGAAGAAATCCAAAGCCGTACACACAAGTTCCGGTAAAGTGATGATGACGTTCTTCTTCGACTGCAAGGGCCCTCTGCTTGTCGAATTTCTCGAGCGTGGGGCCACAATCAGAGCATAGTGCTATGAAGACACTTTGCAGAAACTGAGACGTGCCATAAAGCCAAAACGCCCCGGAATGCTATCGAACGGCATTATACTCCTTCATGACAATGCGCGCCCCCACACTGCCAACTCTGTGAGGAAAATGCTACAGAGATTTGGTTGGCAAGTGCTTCAACATCCCCCCTACAGCCCAGATCTCTCCCCGTGTAAGTTTCACATTTTTGAGACCTGAAGAGAGACATTCGTGGACATCGGTTTGCATCGAACGAAGACGTGTGTGGCTGGGTAAAGATGTGGTTCCGTAAACAGCCCACAAGCTTTTTCAAGGTTGGGATTGACCGTCTTATCTCCCAGTGGGATAAATGTATTAACAGCTTTGGAGATTCCTTTTGAGGTAAGAAATGTTCTTTAATATGTTTTGGCATATGACCCGTTTTCATTTGACTGTCCCCCATATTTGTAGTTGACGATGCACCAAAAATTCAAACTAAATGCGTCAAATTATTTCATCATGGAGGATAAATAATTATGAAGGATACGGAAGGAAACTGTTGCGACCAGATTTGATGTACTGTCCTGGCATTTTGCTGGAGAGACAGAATAAAATAATAACGAACATCAGTTAAATATGAAGAGCGGGATATTCTATGTTATAACGCCGTGTAACTCGATAAACGCCCACAGACATTTCGGAGAAACGTATCAACTCAAATTTCAATGTACCACGAAGAGTAATCCAAGCAAGAAACCAGAGAAATCAGGCTGTAAATAGAATTCTCCGAAGAATCTATGGATTTTTAGCGGTCTGCGGGGTGTTACAATTGGGAAGAAACTTTTATGCATTTTCATTGTTGAGAGAAATTTAAATTCAATTCAAATCCAATCAGACCGTGTCCCAACTGAGACTCAAACCGGGTATCTCCCAAATATAACTCAAAGGAGTTACAGTCTGAACCAGCTTTATAGGTAGATTCGTGAATAAAATGTTTATTGTATATAGTACGTATCTTTACATAACGCACAACTAAGATATTGAAGGTCAACCTCCCCTCTCTCCGCACTAGCACTTACACAACAAACCTGCTGTTGTGCACACTAAGATATAATACATACAAATTAAATAAGGTCACGTGAAACAAGTTTTGCAGAATGTTTTACAATAATGTCACAAGTTCATAAACATGTCACTAGCAGACATTATAAGAGTTTCCATGTTAATATAAAGGGTTCTCAGGAGATAAAGAATCTTATATATAACTAAGATGTATATTTACGTCTAGTGATAATTGCAAACAGACTCTAATTGCATCTACTTGTTGAGTTATAGTCTATTTAATGACATTATTTTAATTTAATTATCTCAGTCACCCTGTGGTCTGCTTATTGCTGGTTGCTTGTGTGACTTGATTGTAGGATACAGGTATTTAGCCTAAATCTAGCATCTACCTAAACAAAGGACAACAACAACACAGAATAAACGCATACATACACCAAATATCCACACCTTGTGTTGGATCACGATCCCGGCTTCCGAACGAGCGAAGACAGTACACGCCTTAAAAAATGGTCTTTCTCCTGAAGAAAATTACTCCAATATTCCTGTCCTCCACGCTCTCCTGACTTGAATCCCCTGGACTTTCACCTGTGAGGACACCTGAATGCCTTTGTGCATGTAGCTCCTGTTGACAGCGAAGAGGCGCATCGCACTGTGGATGCCTGTCGGACTATCCTCAACTACCCCGGCATCTTTGTGTGGATGCGGAGGTCCATGATGGGACGTGTCGAGGAGTGCACTGAATCCCATGGAGGACACTTAATATAAATTTACTCTTTCAACAATAATTCACGAATTAAATATGTTCCGGACATATGTTGATATGGATATTTTTTGTTTTGGTATGGGAAAATCGTGCCTAAAATTTGTCCGCAACTTTCAGTTACATCCTGTACATAGAGCTCCATGAAAAACCAAGGACGCCAGCATGTACGTCTGGCAACCCGGCCTCTGCACTGGCTTTTACAACAATATTTATATTCTGCACGTTCATGTTGTGCACGATGAGGAAATGCGTGACAGTCCAAGTTCGTACTGTTGCGCAATTCAAGAGAAAGTAGTGCAGCGGTTGCAATTTTATACATTATATAAAGCTCCACTAACCTGCATACTGGTCTCGAACCCTGTTACTACCCGCTAGCACAGTCCGTGGATCTGAATGAGGTAAGCGTTACAGAGTCCAGGATAAGTTAAGACCTGATCAAAATTATAGCGTTATCATCAACTGCAAGGTTCAGGCCTTTTGACCTGTTCCGCTCTACGATTTAAAAAATATGATCATTCTATCTGCATCGTGACCGAGGTTTCTCTTTCTTCTTTAAAATTACAGCCAAATAGCTCCCGAGGAATTCGATTAGAAGTCAACTATATTTAGTTGTTTAATATCTATGCTTTTTTTTTTGTCTATTCGTCTATAGCCTGTCATTAATCTCAAGGTTCACATTTCAGAATATGAGAGTTGTTGTATATTTCATGTCTATCACTCGCTGACGAAAATCTATCAAGTAAAAACCGGAGAACATGAAAGTTTTATACATAAAACTGTTACGTAAATACCAATCAAATCAGATTCTTTCATTGCGCAAAGAAATGTACTACCATCCTCAAAGTAGTCCTTGCTCTTAACCTTTGGACTGCCTAGCACTTTCTCAGTTTATATTCAATAAATTTATCATCAAAACTTTCTTCTTCCGATATTTGGCTACGTTTAGAAAGAAGAAGTGGTGCATTGTGAAAGAAAAGTCTCACTAACTTGTGCAATGTCGTGCTTACCCTAAACTACCATATAATTTGATCCAAATGGCTTCTGCATTACCACAAAAACACTTTGTCAAGGGTATGTCTAGCACTTGTGAATAGAAATTCTTGTTAGTAGTCACGCAATGTGGAACATAATTATGGTGCAGAATGCCCTCATAATTGAGCAATATACTCAACGTCACTTTCGTCTTACTGCGAAATTGTGATTCTTTGGCTGCCGTGAGGAAGTGCGTTTATATTGTGGTTATTCCTTGTTAGTTTCGGGGATGTAGCCGTAGCGCCAAATTTCCTTATATGGTACACATTGCACGAAGATCCTTATGGAAGTATGTTCATTAAATATAGTTGTGTAAAGTAAACAACGGTTTCCTGAACAATAAATCAGGTTAGGCACAACAGGGAAATGTTCCTAACATTATATTTAGTCACAATAAAAATGGTTCTCTGAACACTAAGCAAAGCTACGTACAACATAAATCGGTTTTGTGCATAAATATATGCATGAAATAAATTTCTCATAGACTCTTTTCAAATAGGCATTGAAACCACATCATGGAGGCAACATATACTGCAGGTAAGCACTGGACGTCAGCTTCCAGTTCTGCAGAATCTTCAGGAGTGTCCGGGGCCAGCGCTGTTCTCTTCACCAGTCTCCTCTCCACACTCATCGACTCTCAGAGACAACTGGGAAATCCGGACGATTACCCACATGACGCCACATTCCATCTTCTGGACGAGTACGATTTCATCGTGGTAGGAGCCGGTTCAGCGGGGTCCGTGGTGGCTAGTCGCCTCAGTGAAGTGCCCCATTGGAAGGTCTTGCTTCTGGAGGCAGGCGGGGACCCAACACCAACGTCAGATATCCCCGCACTGGCACTTCATTTACAGAAAACCGATCTCGACTGGCAATACCAAACCGAACCAGAAGAGGGTATGTGTCAAGGATTCAGGGATAAACGTTGCAACTGGCCAAGGGGCAAAGTTCTCGGTGGCAGCAGCGTCCTAAATTTTATGATTTATATTAGGGGGATGAAAGGAGATTATGACGCATGGGCTGCGGCCGGAAACAGCGGATGGAGCTATGAAGAAGTTCTGCCGTACTTCAAAAAATCCGAAGATATGACATCCGAAAGGTTACTCCGAAAGCATCCAAACGGGAAGATATATCACTCGAGAGGGGGGCCGTTAACCGTACAAGAATATGTAGCTGTCCAGTCTGGACAAACTCTTCTAGAGGCAGCGAAGGAACTGGGTTTTGAAACACTCGACGATGTCAATGGAGAACATCAGCTTGGTTTCTCGAACGCGTTTTTCACAATTAGAAATGGAACGAGATGCAATACTGCGAAAGCCTTCTTGAGTCCTATAAAATTCAGAGAAAATCTTCACGTTGCTAAGCATGCCCACGTAACTAAAATATTAATTAATCATCAGACAAAATCCGCTCACGGTGTTGAAGTGACTAAAGACGGTAAAATTTTCTTCATCAAATTTAGAAATGAGGTTATTCTATCGGCTGGCTCAATAAACTCTCCTCAGATATTGATGTTATCAGGTATTGGTCCGCAGGAACATTTGAATAAAATTGGTATAGAAACCGTTGTAAGCAATCTGAGAGTTGGCGAGAATTTACAAGACCATCTCTCGTTTATAGGATCTGTTTTTAACACAAAGAACTCTGAGAAGCTTCAAGAGTCATCACTACAACAAGTAGATTTTTATTACAAATATCTGACACGACACAGTGGTCTACTTTCTTCTCCCTTGGACCCAGCAATTGGGTTTATAAGAACAAAAATTGCGTCAGACGAGAGACCTGATTTAGAAATTCTCTTCACGGTTATTGCGGCTAACGATACAAACGCTGTTCACGTCTCTTCATATGGCAGTGGCCTTAACGACGACATAGCTGAATCCCTGAAGGATATAGTCAGCCTTTCGGATGTCTTTATTATCGTCCCAGCTTTGCTTCGCCCAAAGAGTAGAGGAAGGATTCTCCTCAAATCACGAGATCCTTATGAATATCCAAAGATATTCGCCGGATATTTATCGGATCCCGAGGGAAGAGACTTGGCTACAATGTTAGAGGGTATAAAATTCGCAGAACGCTTAATGAACACTGAAGTGATGAAGGCTAAAGAAGCAAAGCAAAGAAAGTTGTTCATTGAAGCGTGTGAGGATCTTGAATTTAATTCTTCAGAGTACTGGGAGTGCGCTTTGAGACACGTAGCAACAACAGTTTATCACCCTGTTGGAACTTGTAAGATGGGTCCAAGATCAGACCCATCTGCTGTTGTAGACCCAGAACTAAAGGTGTACGGCGTGAAAGGCATCAGAGTGGCGGATGCGTCCATTATGCCGACTATAGTGAGTGGCAACACGAATGCACCTACTATCATGATTGGAGAAAAGGCAGCGGATATGATCAAGAAAGAGTGGCCTGTCTATAAACATCAGAAATACATGGGGCCTTTTGTCTTATAAGAGCCTTAATATTACCTATGGTTGAGGTGATAGTTTCATACAAAAAGTACTGTGATACAAAAGAAAAATTATTGCAATCTACTGACACCCTGGATGTCATGAGAGGAATATTCCTTCGTGTGATATTTGTTCAATGACTATGTACAAGTTACTAATTGTTGGTTCGATACTGAACGAGATAACATAATCAGATAAATATTGGAACTTGAATGCTTTTGCCTGCAAGAATTTTTTTCATTGAATGTTCTTTCCATTTTGTCTTCCGTACCCACAATCACAATTGTGCTACGATCTGGTCATTATAAAATTAATAAAATATACTGGTGTTTTTTGTTTTTGTATTTCATCTCAAAGAAATACAGTGCCCTGTAGTGTTGTTATCCTCTAATTAAAATTTTAATTAATATTTATATTTATACATAGACATGATACGCTCTTACTCAAACACGCGCACATGCGCATATCTGAACATTCTGGCGCATGAAACCTATTAATTACCGGGTCTGCATTTCTAGGAGTTTATGAAGGACACTAAAATAACAAAAGGCCAAGAAAATACAAACTGTGTTCCAATGTTTCTACCAGGAATGCGAAACATTTACTGTGTCTTAGTGATTATAATTCCCGCCGTGTAGTAAGAAGAAATCGAATTGTCTTCTGTGTTAAAAAACGGCCAATGCGTCTTCCTGATATTCTTTCTTAATCGATCCATGAAAAGTTTGAGATTTTACCTCACACAAGGTCATGGTCGCTTCCTTCGATATCATTCAAATTTATTACAAATCTACCCTTAAATCTGAGAAGCCGGGACATCTCAGTCGGTTATGCAACTGGCTACTGGCTGGCCGACGAAGGTGCTGGAATTCGAGTCCCGGCAGGATCAAGAATTTCCTCTACTTCACATTGTTCAGACTGGCTCTGCGACCCACCCAGTCTCCTATCCTATGGGTACCGGGGGTAAAGTGGAGGAGACGTGAAGCTGACCACTCACCTCCAACTAGTACCGAGATCAAGAAAATATGAATTTATACATCCACTCCCCCATACACCTTCATGGCATAGTGCTTGATTAGTTAAGCAGTGGGACAACTTTTACCTTTAAAAATTAAATACTGTCACGTGTATGAGTGACGATAGACGGGGTCTGGATTGGTAGTCGGATTTATGGAACTCTTACAGACCGTCACTACAAATAACTAGGACAGGTTCTCAGAGCTACGCACTCCAAAGGCCACAGGAACTACAACACACACGAAGTCTTCACAGTCTTCACTACCATGGCCTTCCTCACGCCCGCGAGATGCTAAAGATTTCCCTAAACACTCTCTCAGATATGGGAGAGTTTAGAGGAAGAAACAGATTACGTCACACGAGATGGTACATCAGATTTTCAACATTATGTGTGAGCGTCAATAAATCCATTCACCAATCCATACCCAGTCTATAGGCACACACACAAATCGTGACAGTAGTATTACCGGTTTCACACAGTTAATCGTTTCCAGTTGCAAGTGATGTTCTGTTGAGTTCTGTGCGCCTCAACAAGTGGCGATTAAATTTATTGACGCGCGATCTTGAATCGTATCTTAAAGAAACAACTTCCTATGACCCTGTCTCGACACAGAAGTAACCTTGGTTTTGAAGAACATCACCTCCGAGATCCCTAGACACCAATTAGTCGCCGTAAATTCCTCTGAGATTTAAGACTATTGCGAACCGACCGAATGCCAGCTATAGCCAATCCTAGAGATGCAGTTCAACTTGTGCGGAATCGACGTCAAGGAAAGGTCAGCGTGCAATACCAGCCTCCTACCTGTTATAAAATGACATATGTCAATGGGTGCGTTTAAAGTTTGTTCTAGAACCGGTCTGAGTGCGGCGGTGAGAGAAAAATTCCAAATCACATCCATGAAATAATTCAAATGAGAATATTTACGCAATAAAATATGAAATTTATCTCTTCTCCTTCTTCAAGGTCATAGGCCATTGGCCTGTTCTCAGATTCATGAGAATACGTCCCTCTTCCAGCTACTTCCATGTCCTCTGCCTCTATAATTTTTAATATGTTCGGGAGTCAGTAATCCCAGTAAAAAGCAAAATTATCACTGTAACAAACTGTGGAGGTCCATAGTGTTGTGAGCCTCCGAGGCTCCCACAGTTTCTAAACAATCAGCACACAGATGGCGTTGAAGTTTTCAACCTTGCGTGCCGACTGCCCTTTACCCCACAGGAAGATTCCTGGTAGAGGCTGAGTCAACCTCAAGCACATAGTGCTGCTGGAAGGATAAGGTCAATTGAAAAATCTAATGACCTCATCTGGAATAGAACCCGCGACCTTATGGCTTGTAGCGCAATACCTCAACTAAATACGCTACCAGGTGTTCAACTATTATTAATAATAATAAGGTAAATTTGTCCCTGTGCTTAAATAATTAAATTCTATGCATGAAGACATACATCAAATGGGTGGGTCAAGATATTGTCCGCTATTCTTGACCTCGGCACTAGATAGAAGCGTGTGCTCAGATTCACACCCCGGTCTCGTTGTCCGGCGCTAATAATTGGACAGTAGACAGGCTGGGCCCCGTAGCCGGACTAAACTCTGTGAAGAGAAAAAATTTGCCCTGCAGGGAATCGAAAACGGGCCTTCCAGCACGTAGCTCTTATTTATAACGACCGAGCTATCCCGACTCCAATATTAATATTAATAATAATAATAAAAAAAATGGCTTTAGTACTTTAATTACTTACCAAGCATACTCTGCTCCCGACGGACAACTGCTTTCTGCATTTGGTGAAGGCCAGCAGAACTTCGAAGTCCCTCTGTATGTTGATAACAGCTGCAAAAGGAAACTACTGCTGCTCAAAATATATTTATAAGATGTGTATATAATTTATTGTGTTGTTCTAAACTCTAAGTAATATAATGGAGTCGATCAGACTTAAGCTTTTATGTCCTTCATCATGGTACAATCTGCTTCGTCAAAAAACATGTGGATTCAAACTGAGATTCTTCTATCCCATGAATAAACTACTGCGGTACGGGGGGAACGGGGTCCTCTCAGCCTCGTGAGGATAATTGAGGAGCTATTTCAAGAAAATGGCGGCTCCGGTCTAGAAAACCGAAATTAACGGCCGTGGAAATCCGTTGCGTTGACCACGCGACGCCCTCTGTCCGCTGAAGTTAACACTAATTTCGCCGACAAGCGGCGGTCGCTCGGTCATTATGGTTCTCTTTGGGACTAAAAGTCACGGAGTTTAGTTTTTTTTTATTCCGTTGAAAGTCAACCGATGTTTCTAATGAGCAGGTCGTCTGCATTTTCAGGGTCAAAGCACAAGCCAAGCAATAAACCAGCATTAAAGCAGATGACAAGAGCCTACCACATTATTTCACTGTTGACTATCAACGGACTACAAGGTGCTATATCCCAAAAGTGCAACTCTTAAAGTTGAACAAAATTTATTACCAGAGTAATGAATATTTTTACTCATATACAGTAAAACCTGCCTTAAACGGACCCTTTATTAAACGGAAATCTGTCTTAAACGGAAATATTTTCAGGTCCCTTGACTTTGGGGCTGAAAAAGATGTTAAATAACCTGGATTAAACGGAAACTGTCTAACGCGGACAACGGAAATCAAAATAAGCCTTTATACGAAAAATTTCCAGTCTTCCGGAATGCATCGTTTAGAATAATTTTAGGCATCCTATACATTCTACAGAATTTTGTTTTGTTTTGTCTCAAATACGTTTACGTCCTGGTTTAGTTATTATAGTATACCTTGATTAAACGGAAACCTGGCTTCAGCTGAAATTTTTCCTGGTCCCTTGAGATTCCGTTTGACAGGTTTTACTGTAGAATATTTCAATATTATAGAATTCTTATCCTTTCATGCCTATTACAATTTGTCATATAGACTGAAAATATTGTATTTAGTATCTAGTACACTAGATACTGTGTTATCTAGTGAGACTGTTATAGTTTGTGTTGAGATCCGTTGCCAGGAGACGACTAGTGAAGACGGAAAATCCTAGTGCGTGTGCAACGGTGAAGTAGAAAGTGTACAAATCAGCGATACTGCTCTAATTAAGTGTGATTAAGAGAGGCTGTAACCAAGGTGCTAATAAATCCAATCATCCGACTATAACCCGTCGTTCTCGTGACACGTACCATCCTACATGTGAGAGTATCCTAGACAGGTTCGTAAAATTAATCTTAAACTGCTTAACGTAGCTTCGGTAACTAAATTTTATTGCTGACCCTCCCCCACATACACACCAGTTTGGAAAACTAACTGCCAACCTTGAATAAAGTGCTGACAGCATCCATGACAGTTAGGTCTTTATGCGAGGGTATCTGTCTCAGATATGCTAAGCTTTTCGAAGATAATTCTCAAGAAAGTTATAAAAAGTATGGCTGCAGCGATTCGATGCTTAGTCTGCGAGTACATTCAGCGCACACGAACGAAGGCCGCCCAAGTTCAGCGCGCCGGATGAGTGGTGAAGATTTCAAAACATTCTCAATGAGTGACTTGTAGATTTTCACTGTACAATCGGAGGAGACGACTAGGCTCCACTGCTCCACTGCTCCACTGCTCCACTGCTCACTTGTCGTCATTAAGGTACGTATGTAACCTTTACTGACATAACAATTTCATCTTATTTACAATTACAATATCTTATTCAAAGTTGTTACATTCAGTTATATGTTGAATGCGAGATGGAGCTGTCGTCGAGAGCATGTTACACGAGGACTACTAACTCAAAGGTTCGGTTACAAAAATCTCTGCTCGTGATTCTCAAGGGTCTTCACGCCAAGCCGAACTGTTTGGCGGTAAACCACCAGTCGTAAAGTAAATTGATTTTGTCCTTTTACTTTCGCTGAAATAGAATTGAGGGTGTCTCTTGAGACGGCAGTCGAAGATGATTGAGAAGCGAAGACAGCGAGTTCAGTTGAAGAATTTATGCATACTGTAATTATAATGAGAATGTTATAAATCCGTTGCCAGAAAACTCCTAGTGAAGAGTGAGACCCTAGTATGCGTGGTGAACCGTAGATTAGCAATAGCGCAGTATTACTTGTAATTATGAGTTAAGTATATAGGTGCACTAAATGTATTATCCAATCCATACCCCGTCTATAGTCACTCCTAAAAGTGATAATAGTGAATCTTAATAGTCACCGCTACGACAACTTCAAACTAAGACGGTTATTGAAATCTTCGTTAAATAAATCAAGATAAAACAATCTAAGAGCTTCATAAAACTGCCGAAGTGCGCTCTCGTGTGCTGCACAGGAGTGTAAAACACAGAAACACCTGTACATAAGAAATCACACATAGATTCTACAGGGTTCTGACGATGGTGATACTCAAAAGTTCTGAGTTACTTAGACTTTTGTCTATCGCCCAGTATTTTAGAAACTAGAAAACACAACTTTTCGGAAACTGGATCTGTTTCCGTCCTCAGGTAAGGGAGAGAGACACCTACCCTCTTGCACCAGTGATTGAGGTTAGCTCTTTCTAAGTGACCCAACAGAGTAGATGTCTCCCCTCTCGCTGGACCAGAGAGTGAAGTTAGCTCTTTCAAAGGGAAAAAAAGAGAGTAGGTGTCTCCTCCTTCAGTGGTCCAATGATTGAGGTTAGCTCTTTCTAAGGGACCCAACAGAGTAGGTGTCTTCTCCCCCACTGGTCCAGTGGTTGTGGTTAGCTCCTTTTAAGCGACCCAACAGAGTAGGTGTCTCCTCCTTCACTGGTCCAGTGATTGAGGTTAGCTCTTTCTAAGGGACCCAACAGAGTTGGTGTCTCCCCCCTTACTGGTCCAGGGATTGGGGTTAGCTCTTTCTAAGGGACCCAACAGAGTAGGTGTCTCTCCTCTCACAAGACCAGTGATTGAGGTTAGCTCTTTCTAAGGGACCCAACAGAGTAGTTTTCTCCTCCATCACTGGTCCAGTGATTGAGGTTAGCTCTTTCTAAGTGACCCAACAGAGTGTCTCCCCCTCACTGGTCCAGTGATTGAGGTTAGCTCTTTCTAAGCGACCCAACAGAGTAGGTGTCTTCCGCCTCACTGGTGCAGTGATTGAGGTTAGCTCTTTCTAAGGGACCAAACAGAGTAGGTGTCTCCCCCCTCACTGGTCCAGTGATTGAGGTTAGCTCTTTCTAAGCGACCCAACAGAGTAGGTGTCTCCCCCCTCACTGGACCAGTGATTGAGGTTAGCTCTTCCTAAATGACCCAACAGAGTAGGTGTCTTCCACCCACTCACCTGAGGACGGAAACAGATCCAGTTTCAGAAAAGTTTCACTTTCTAGTTTCAAGAATACAGGACAATGGACGAAGTTCAAAACCCCAGTAATTCTTCGGACGTGACATATCTTGCAATTACTATCTTTCTTATTTTACATACGTTACTTGGCCTTCACGCGAAGTTTCACTTGTAAAACTTGTTTCTTTACAGAGCTAATCGCACTACACGCTGCAGTGTCGTGAACCATAAAGTATTTTCTTTGCATTTCGTCAGATATTTACCATATCTATTAGCGCTTTCAGAGTCTTTAACTTTCGGCGGGGGGGGGGGCAGACATCATGCTTACAAATTCACGTTTATGCCGTTTAAGGTTGCTTTTACTGCTCGTCATAGGGTATTCAGGGCAGAAGAATATTTTTATCAAATGCTGTTAATATCCGGGACTGATAATCATATTTCGTATGTTCCCCTCTTTCTTCAATTTTCAATATTTTCGAAACTCCTTTATTTTGGGGGGGGGGAATTCCTCAGTTCTTCCAACTAAGCCGACATCCGTTACCTTATCGAAAAAGTTTCAAGTAATGATTGTCCATTTGAACGAGATCAACATTTCATGTCATATACAGATTTGAATAATTTCTTCTTCCGGGATGTGGCGCCGTGTGTATATTTTATTAACCGACGTTTCGGAGGAATGTATCGCCTCATTTTTCAGGGTATAAGAAATCCGCGAATGATGAACCAGCGTGAACATCTCTCTACAGAGGTGATGGAGGCGGTACGTTCCTCCGAAACGTCGGTTAATAAAATATCAACACGGCGCCAAATCCCAGAAGACAGCATTCTTCATAGTCACCGCCGTGAAAACCTCAAATCTTATACATACAGATTTATTGTATTAAGAAAATACTTCACGAAAAGCGAGCCTCATGCAATACATCGTTAATATTGAACTCGTATGGACCATGCAGGGCAACTTGGTTCAAGTGCCAACCATTCCACCTTGTATTCAGGAGGTGTACGTTTCGAATCTCTGCCGGAGCACGAATTATCCTCATTGAAGCGAATTTCATTTAACCCCTGTTTAGATGAAAGTTAGACCTAACTTCACATAAGCGTTGCAGTCGAGTGTACGACACTCATGCTTTCGTATTTTGGACAGTCCGCATTCAGACATCAGCCCAGATATCGTCTCTCCTAACTGTGAAGTTTTGCGGATTTTTTCAGTCCTTCCAGATAAATTCCGAGATATAACTTCAAATTAGGTCACGACCGCTTCCACCTACGTCCAAGTACGTCATTCATTCAGTATTATATCGTTTTGTGACTGTGAAATGTTGTCTCTGATATTAAGGGAGGAACATAGATTGAGGGTGTTTGAGAACAGGGTATTGAGGAGAATATTTGTACCGAAGAGAGATGACGTGACGGGAGGTTGGAGAAAACTGCATAATGAGGAGCTTCATAACTTGTACTCTTCTCCAAGTGTAATTAGAATAATCAGGCCAAAGAAGATGGAGATAGGTGGGACATGTAGCACAGATTGAGACAGAAGAGGAGGTGGACTGTAATTCTCACACGCACTGCTGTGAGGACCTCAGATCTCA